CTACTGATCTAACCACTAAAAAGATCGCCCATCCCGCAGGTCAACCGTCTCTTTCCCCAAAAGACAAGACTCTGTGACCGCCAGTACATCAAGTTTGTACAGACGGGTCGTAAGGCAGACAAAAATGAACGTTCCAACATGCAGTATAACTTACATAATGTAGTGTTGACTCCTGGAATCACGGATTTCTTGGTTACCAGTTGTTTCGTAACTTGCGAGCGCCAACGCTCGCTAAGAAATCAATTTGACAACCTATGCACTGACAGACGAAGCTGAGCTCCTATCTCAGGATATCGATCCGTCAGCTGACACTAATAAAGTGCAAAATAAGGGCCATAAGAGTCAATCATATCGAACAACCCATATCGGTATGATTAGCGCCGTTGAGTCATACAAGTCTATGCATATCATAAAGAAAAAAAATCGCATCTGTTGCAGTGACATCTGCGTTTGAACTGATTTAGTCGATCACGTGACAAGAGAGGTAGAAAATTACAGTTTAAAAATATTATATTTTATACAGCACATATTTCCCACGCATAAATTTCCTTTACTACATAATTTATATAGTAGTATTGGACAAGGTACAGTTCAATTATACCCTTCTTGCAATCTACGCCTCCTCACAACTATAAATTGTCACATGCTTATCAGAAAAATTGCAATTAGCTGGCTTTATGGCATTAAATGTCCTCAGGATGCTAAATCTGTTTTATTAAATTTTTGCAATTGTTACACATGGGTCAACAGAAGGCAACGTTTATCTAGTGAAAAGACAAACGAAAGAGCGCCTAAAGCAGGAATTCCATCAACAGAAGGCAACGTTTATCTAGTGAAAAGACAAACGAAAGAGCGCCTAAAGTAGGGATTCCATCAAAGGGTCGTTTGAGGGATGGAATATTCGATTAAACTCGATATCAGCGGTGAACAAATCTGAAATCTGACCAGGCGACGAGGCAGTGGTGATCAAAAGATCACAAAATCTCTGTATATCTTTAAATTATGTCTGTTCATAAAGACTCGCATCACAAATCCACATCAAAGATTAAAGGTAGCCGCTCATCTTCAAAACAAAGCATACTGAATACATACAATGTCATCTAATTTACAGTAAACATGACTGTGAATACTAGGCAACCTACATGTCGGCATTTCAAGAACATAAATCTTAGAAAATAAAACGTACTGCTGAAAATACTGCATCTGTGATAGCCGAGTGGCATGATCCTTCACTAAAATCTTTATGAATCCACGGCAAAAGATAAAATTCTCGCCAATCCGCCCGGTGATACAGCGATCCGGCAACATAGTCCCTGGTAATTTCTTCTAAAAATCGAAAAATACACAGCCAAGCGATACAGTACCTATTTTAGCCTATTCACAAGCAACAATTTAAGTTCATAGCATGCTGTAGGTTGCAGCAGCACAGTTTGAAGAAGTTTTCTCAACAGGGTCCTAATGGAGAATGCTCATTCTAACACATTTCAAGAGACGGGAACGCCAGGTTTACAAGAGAAACAAGCCATCTAACCCTTGACTTGACTTTTTGCCGTCTGTCTCAACAATTTCTGAAGAAGCGGCTTAATGAGTACCCTGTTTCAAGTTGTGAAAATCCATTCCAAAAAACGGACTCACAGATCAGAGTATCGCTGAAACTCCTCAAGGCACTCGCTATATCATTAGCAATTCAGAAGCAGCTTGTTTCTATCGCTTAGCCGCATCGTGCTCGTTCGGTCAATATTCAGAGCTCATAACGAAGACGGCTACTGAAAATTCCACTACAATCTTCCATGTCAGTGTCACAGCAAAATACAACACAATATAAAGAGTAACACCTCATAAGCTCCATGAAAAACAAATTATGAAGTAAGGATGTGTATGGCAGACTGAAAACAGGAAGTTAATAGCTGTGCTTTCAATTTTTGTAGCCATATCACGAGTAAACAGAGTCGTTATTGAAAATTTACTCGAAGTTGAGAGGACATGTTTAAGATCAATAAAATATAGCCTATTCATTTATTTTAGTACCTTTAAATACCAAATTCTCAAACGACACGCCTCAAAATTTTATAATGCAAAAAAACTGGAACACATGCTAAAAAGGTTCTTTTTAATAATCAAACGAACCTTAATCCTTATGTTTATTAAAAAAAGTGTTTCTGCAACGTGCATTAAAACTAAGACATTCTCATTAAAATCCACGGTTGGCAGCGAAAAATATCAGAAACTTTATTTACAATTATCGTGTACAGCGTGTTAATGACGCACACTGGTACTTTGACGTTTTGTCATGAAAATAACTGTATGATTTTTGAATTAAAACAAGCTGCGTGTAGCAGCCACAAGCAGTCAGAAGAACATCATCCCGAAGAAAGTAGCACCTACAGATCGAAACGCCGGTAGGAACTTATTGTAACTTGCAATTTTGCATTGCATCCAATAACATTCGTGTCATATTTTAAATTTTTATCAAAGTATGAGCAAACTTCCGAACAATGTAATAAGCAAAATAAGTTACACAATTAAAATTTACCTTTCCTACGTAATACATAAAAAATAAGCTTCAGAAAGCGTTATCTGCAATCCTACCCTGAGCATTGATGTGTTCCACTGGGAATAAGAGGCTATAGGTTATCTTTCCCGTCAAATAGTAAAATGGAACGACGCGAACATTCGGATGGTCGCTGTGCTGAATTCGACAACCCAATTCATCCATAACATACCAGATTGGAAGCCGGTCTTCTAAATCTTCGTCCTACAAAACAACCAGTCAGAAAAAAAGATAAACCTTCGAAAAAAAGATAAACAGACAACCGACATGGTTAAGAAAAATATAAGTACTGAAACGAAGAGTCGGAAAATGAGCACAGCATAATAAATAATACTTTTCCTACAGAAGCTGAATCGAAAAACCTTTTTATGAAATCTAAGATCATCAAAAACATCGTGTGCAAAGCGGGTAGGGAAATATATGAAAAGGTATAATAGATTTGTTACAATGGAAGATTTTTAATGTTAGCAACAGACGATGAAACAACTATCAACACAAAATGCTTTCTTAAAGGTTCACGACTTGGTAAAAATATCCTACCGGGTCATGGCAATTTTAGTAGTAACAAGGAATACTGAATTCTGCTGGTACCTAGATATCACTCGCCGTCGCCATATTCGCACAGAATGGTAGGAGTCGTCAAAAAAACTCATCATATTTCTTCTGAAAGATCTTACAGCGGTTTAATGCAAAAGAATCCGTAAATCGCTGTAGAAAACCTTAAACACTCAGAATTATTGATGAATAAAACGGAGACAATTGTGTGCATTTGAGGCTGAAGAGCCCTGTGTTTAAGATGCGAGAAAACAGAAGAAAACTATTGAATCCCAGTCTATGCCAACCGGATGCCGTACCTGTACAAGAAATTTTGCTGTTTCAGGAATTCTGCCCATCGGGTGTCACAATCAGTAGAACTAAAATACCGAGCCATAATTACTACTTTCTGGTAATCATAAAAAACCAGTTGAAAAAATTTATCACTCTTACTCCCATCAAAAATATATTTTGAAATAATGAACTAAAATAACGTCCCAGAGTGACTGAAACCAAAATAATAATTGTTTCAACGCCCTGCTACTTACATCGATATAGTTGTAAATCGAATATGTTTGACTGTACTGCCAGAGATGTCGCAAAATATATTCAGTCACTTTCGTGTCGCTAACACCGTCGTTTCTTTCGATGTCCATAATTTCGCACATTCTATTTAGCAAGCCCGGAACACGGCACAGGTCCGAACGTGCTTCGTTCAATCGATATGTCCAAGCATGATCAATCAGGAAAATGCTAAATCACGTCACGATAATGATTTACAGCCAAACACAGAATAACAGGCAAACAGGTGTCGATTTCATACAAGCCATTTAATCAACTTCGTAACAGATTGAATTCCAAGAACTAACAATAGCAGCGCACCGAAAAAATTTGTCTGTTCATGACAAAATACTAAACATACTTTGCTGTACTGTACCATACATACTTTGTAAAGTTAAAGTTCTGCCAACAACTATCTTATAATTAAAATATAGTTATGACACTAATGTACATACTGAGAACTGCATTCTAATAGTTACTTTACTGTCTTTGGTACAATTTGCTTATCACATACTATACAGAAAGTAGTAACAAAGTAGTGGGTGATATAGCACTGGCCGTATTACGTAAAGTAAAGCAATCATTACGAAAAATAACATACTACCCAGACATTGTAACTAGGGTATTACTTATATTTTTCCACACGGAATTTAAACACGGTTGTTAACTTTGAGGTAGGCAGAGCAGCTCTGTATTATGTTGTAATTAATACACAATATATACAGTGCAACATTCCAAGTTTGCATATTCCACTACGAAATAACACATATAGTAAAGTAGTGCATAGTAACGAAATACACAGCAACTAAAGAAAATCAGTCACACCACAGAGTACCATATTATACACCCCACAAAACTCTTTAATTACAATATTTACCTCGCAATGGAATAAAACAAACTATCCGCTAAGGAAATAGTTAATCTAGGCGACTGACTCGAGAAACAACGCTGTTTTATATATCACGATTAATAAACTAGCTATGGAAGTGAAGCCACAGGCTCGTCAGCTGCTGAACGAGGGATACTAAACACGGACGGTGCAAATCAAAGTCGACGGTCTTCACATCACATGGCAGAGGAAATAAAACAGAATCTTTCCTTTATAACTCCGCCATGGCCGGTCCCAAGCCCAGATGAGAAAGGAGGAGGGTTGGAGACCGTGGCAAGTCTCC